TTCCCGTGGGATTAAAAAAAACAAAACTGATTAGCCTATGTGTTCTTCCAGACTATCCTCTACATCTATACCAAATAAAAATTAAAAAAAAAATATAAAAAAAGGCTACAAACTCTAACAAACATCCATCCATCCATCTAAACTTTTGCATTTATAATATTAGTTACATAAATTAAGATAGTATTTTCAAATTTCAAATTATGAACACCTTTATTGCCCCAGGTCGTTGTTTTGGTATGAAGAAAATGCTCACCCCGGTTTGGGCACGCTGATGACTTCAAGGATCAATGGATCAGACATACGCTCATTTTTCTCCAATCACGATGAAGGTCCACACACACGCAGCAACTGTAACTGTCCAGAAAATCCTCAAGCGGCTAAAGCTTTCACACTCGATATGACGAAAGACGACATAGAATTATACTGGGTAGATCCCTGGGTGCATCAAATTGTTGCCTCGGATATGGCGGCATGCAAATGTAGAGTAGTCGTAGACGCGTCGAAGAAAAGATACGGCTTCACGCCGATGGCGATCACCGTCGATAGCAAATATATTTATTGGTTTAATTCAACGGAAAAGTCTATCTATTACACGAACAAACTGACGAAGAGTGAGATAGAACAAGTGAAAGCATTTTACGGGTATAAGATAGTGACGTTGGACCCGGCCACGCAGCCGTTCCCGCCCCGACAGTGCTTGTTCCCGAAGGCACACGACCTGCATCCCACAGTCATATCTAATTCCGCCAACAGTCTGTCGCTGCAAATGCCGAAAGTTGGTAAACCTAAATACTGCCATCAGTATAATTATGAAATGGCTGCGATCGAATATACCGTTTATTATAGTTTAAAATCGTCAAACAAGGCTATAGTTTGCGACAAGAAAACATGCCCGTATAAAATGACCACAAGCTCTGAACTAGTTCTGAATGAACTTACACCTTTCACCAATTACTCGGTGATGTTAGAAGCAACGAATTACTACGCTAAGCTACATGAAGTAGCACCAATCGTTGGAACCCCTTTGATCCTACAAACTGCTGCAGAAGGTAGGTAGATGCATAAAAAACTGTAGCTATGTCATCCGAATTAAGCTTTAGTATGTTTCTTTTCTGAATGTCAGCACCGACAGCTCCGAAAGACGTGAAGGCGACCGTGCTGAGCCCGGTGCTGGCGCGCGTCACGTGGACCCCGGACCCCGGACTCTGGTACGAGTTGCACTGGGGCACGGACGACTCCTCCTCGTTGCCCTTAAAAGGTTATATTTTTTAAATATGTAACATAATATAACAGCATAAATAAAACGTAAGGGTCCTACGTACTCCTATAAGGTCTAGACACTTGTTAAACAAAATGATTTACTGTGTTTTCCAATTTCATAATTTCAAGTTTATAGAAACTAGCTGTTCCCATGCGACTTCATCCGCATGAAATTGTAAAATTTTATTTTACTATTTACAATTGTCAAATTCTCAATTGCAAATGTCAGAATACAAATTACAGTACCATGGCAATCTTGCTCCCTTGATATTGGTGGCTTATACTGTATGGTCTTTTTCCCACATCGAGGTTTTTTCCAATTTTCTTATCGTCTAAGTTTAACAACGTTAAAATATATAGCCTAAAGCATGTCGTAAGTGTAGCGATTTTTATTAAAGAAAGAATTTTGAAAAAATATGCTTTAATAGATCCTATGCCACAAAGTAGGGTGTATTTACGCTTTATTACATTAGTATAATATCCTAAGCCACTAACATACCGAAGTGGAAAAAATTGCTTGACCAAGCCAAGGCCCACAAAGGGCTGTAGAGCTAAGGAAGCAGAAGAAGATGATATGCAAGAAATAAAACTAATTGTTTAGTTACATATTTCAGAGCACAATACATTCGAGGTGTCGGAGGGCGGGAGC